ATATTTTCAATGCTAAATGATTAATTTAGAAACGTCCCTGCAGCTTGCTCAGTCTGGGGTTCAATGGGCATTGCTCCCAGATCGAAAAACAATATTCGAGTATAGAGCGAGGCATGAAAGTCTATGTTCATTTGGAGTGGGGGCACTTATAAGTACATTGGCACCAGGGTCCTCTCAACAGAATCCAAAGTAAGAGTTAGCTGAATAAAGGCATGTCTGCTGATGTCCAAAGTTTGTAACTGATGAGAGCTATATCATCTGCTTATCCATTATTACTCATGGACTTGTTTCGGTATGAGCAATATCAACAACAGAAACGTTTCTAATTCCTTCAATGACAGACACTCTTTCGTGATTTTAAAATGACAGAGGATAAATTAGGAGAAACAAAATTAGAATCACAGTATAAATGGAAAGTACAAAGTGAAGAGAACATGAATTCAGAGAGTAATAAATCCAAGTCTAGAAGAAATATCATTCCTATTTCAAAATCGAAAGCTTAAAGAAAAAAAAAAAAAGAAAAAAAAAAGAGGAATATAAAAAAAAAAAAGGAACGAAGTTATCAACTTTAGGTTTCATGTACAATTATATGCATCGTTTTATTTCTCCTGTGAATTATAATGAAATTGTATTTACGTACGACAACTGTTATAGCCTAAAGCAATACCAACAGCAATCGATAAGGACGTATAAAAGGTGTACATCCTATAACAATGACATCCAAACTAGCTCAAAAACAAGCCATAACTTTTTTTTTTTTTTTTTTTTTTTAATTTTAGATAGGTCGTTTTCAGAATAAATTCGTCTTTAGGTTTAAAAAAAGCTTATTTAAATAAATGCAATATTTTTTAACTAATTGCATATTTTTTTTTCTGATCTTGTAAAGTTTAATGTTAATTCAGAAAATACTTATAATTATCAACTATATCTAACAGTATGATAGTATCATGTAAATTAATTGCAGAAGTATTATTCTTCCTTCGATTATTCATTTATTTATTTTTAATTTATAGCTTGAGGAGGTAACTTAGAAGATTTTTACTTTTAAATTATATTGCTTTCTAATTAAGAAGAACTTTTTAAAATTTAAAAGTAATGATTATTATAGAATCTTAAATTTAGAATTTCATTAAATTAATGTAAAATTACGAACACCAGAATTTAAAAATATTATTAAAATATCATTATGTAAATTAATTGCAGAAGTACTGTTCTTTCTTAAAATGCAACGAGTTAATGTTTACTTTCATTTCAAATTCGAACGCTGAAGGATCTTGAACCGATTAATGATGTATAATATAATGAGGCACCACTGTATAAGGAAGTTCCTGACACGTTCTACATATCGCGTATGGCTTGTCACAGTTTGGAGATCATCAACTAAATAAACAATGAATTTCTGTTTACAGGCCTGCATGAGTTCATACACTTCATACATCTGCTGCACGAAATGCACATATTAGGCACATCTACAGTGCAGTGGATACTAAAAAAGCATTTTTTCCACCAATAGGACAGGCTAGAAGACACGATGTTAACAGGAAACTGTATATATAATATACAGTTCCGTTTACTCCGGTCTTATTTCACTTACACTTATACCCTCAAGCGTCTTCCTTCAAATCACACCCGAGGCAAAGAAGGAAAATATTAATAACACAGGAACCAGATTTTGAGGTAAATCAAAGGAAAGTCTGTTTGTGGAACACAGCCATGATTACCTCAAAATATAAATAGGGGTTCTTCGTCCAGAATAACTCGAGCACTTTGTACACACAGCGAATACCAAAATAATACATAAATATTAATTACATTGCTTTGGAAAAGGAAGAAGAAAGGACAAGAAAGCACGATTCTTTGAAGACTTGAGAATGTCGCCCTTGATGTGCGGTCTTTCTGACAGGTGGCACCAGGAGATGGGATAATCAGTGATGACAGGTCAGAAATCTGAAACAACAGGAAAATAATAATAATAATAATAATAATAATGTAACTAATGGAAGGAAAAGCAAAACTATTAAATATACTACGCGCTTGTGAGCCAGCCGCCTAAAATGGTTATTATATATATATAAATATAAATTTAGAAATTTGAAATTAAGATCATAAATCAGGCATCAGTAAGCTGTTTCAGCTGCGGGTCATAATCAGCCAAAACGTGTGTATTAAGAAGACATTTCGAGTCAGTGGTATTTTCATTTTAAAAATCTTTTTTGGTGAATAATAAAATAAATTTTGTTGAAAAAATAATGACATTACGCTTGATACTTTAAACACAAAAATTAAAATTATAATTACTATAAAAACAAACATAAATGAATTAATTTTATTTTGCTCTTCAATATCAGTGGCTTCCTTGATACTGAACTTGTGACGTCAATTTAGTCAAGTCTGGCGTATAGTTAGTTGTCTTATGAGGAATAACAAGCATCTGAATTCACTGCTACCCTTCTTTCTTAAAATAAATTTCATGTGTGAGGTTATTTGCTCTCATTTATTAGTTGAACCGAAGGCGGACAATATGGCAAATTCAATTTTTTTTTGGAGTTATGGATTATGAATCGGCGTTGTCAAATTTATCGATTTCTGTTTGAAATTGTGTTACAGTTTTTAAAAATGCATGCTCGTTACTGCAACTTTGTAATCAAACAAAACTGGCATCGTTATTATTTATTATCAGTATATTTTTAAGTACTCTTCAAGTTTTCATTTTATACTTATGGTTTATAATTCCTTTTTATATATTATACTTTACTTTCGGAACTCAGGTGGGTTACTTGAAATTATGAAGTGGGTCACTCGGTGACCCGAGTGTCATAAGTTGCCGAAGCCTGTCGTAAATCATTAAAGTCATTCAGTACACTGCGAAATTAATTGAATAATCAAGGGATAATAATTGATTCAAAAATTAAATCAAGAAAGCTGAAAATTTGAAGCCAAAAAAGCGTCAAAATTGAAGCCAAAACTAATTCGATAAAATACTGCGATTAAATGAATTAATATAACATTACTCTTTCAACAATTTTTATATCAATGTTATATTAATCATTTTTATTGCGTTATTTTATTGAATTGTTTTTGTTTTAGTTTTTTTTAATGAGTGTTTATCTTGTTAGACTGTTAACATTTTTCTTGATTTAATTATTACGCCTTCGCTATATTTATATTTAAAGATTCTAATAAGTCCATCCAGCAATTATTAACAATGTAGATGAAGAACTTCGGTTATTGATTTTTTAAATCTAACTTGTTAATCAATAACAGACAAGTTAGATTTGAAGGAAAAATTAAATATCATGTTTTGCCGAGTGGCAATACACAGGCAGGCTGGAGATAAAATTATTTATTTGCTGGAAATAGTAACACATTCCTTCCAAATCGCCAAGTTTGTTGAATAACTTTGAAAGACAAATATCTTACGCTTTGACGAGTAGCAACAAATTTCTTTCTTTAGAGATTTCTGATCAAATTTGAAAGATAACGTTACTGTTAAAACAGAAGTCTAAATATTATCTAAATCCTACATGATAAATAAGTCGACATAATAAGACATTTATTATCCAAAGAATACATCTATAACAATAGTGTTCAAATTTTTTTGCTCCATGCCCCCTTTTCCACCCTTACACTAGACCAGCGGTTCTCATCCTTTTGACTAACGCGCACAATTTAAACAAAAATTGAAAACCTTTAGTACCACCGCTACAAAGTACTACTACCACCACCACTCTTGAACAAAGCTCAGATCGCACAAATTTACGAAGTTAGAAAAATTCAATCAGAATCTTGGGTTTTAATTTTTGAATTTAATAGTTAAAAATACTTTGCTTCTTTGCGTACCACCTACTTATCTCTTCGGTACCACCGGTTGAGAACCCCTGCACTAGACGATCATTCCCCCGCCTCCTTTCCAAACTCGAACAAGTACACATTTATAAAAATTTAGATTAATTTTGAATTGTGTTTTATAAATTAAAAAAGAAAACGTTGATGAAAAGTATAAGAAATGTTGATAAATACCAAAACATGAATAAAAGTAGTTTTTTATATCCATAAACTAAAACTAAATAAAAGTTAAGAAATAAAGTACTAATACTATTTTATAAATACTTAACCAGAAGATAAAAAGCTGATCGTATTCCTCCCTGAAACTATGAAATTCCACTCCTTTATAGAAAACCCGTGATTTATAAGATGCAACAAAGTTCCATGAAGCGAAAGACAGGTAAACAAAACAAGCTATTGCCAATTCGTGGAAGCTAAATTAAAAATTTAGATACGTTCACTTCCTTGCGAAATGGCACTTAAGACAACCTGGTGCTCAATCCCAAATCGAAATGTTAAAAGATTTCGCAATTAATTTAATATATAATTAATCCGGAAAGTAATAAGTTTCGTTTTTTAAACTATTGGAGGCACCGCTACTCATATATTGGAAGGACATTTGGAAAGCTGTTGGAGCTGGGACTAATACAAGGAAATTAGCGTAAAATTCTGTGCCAGTAGTCAAAAGACAAAATACAGAAAATACTAAAGGAAAGTTTTTCGTGTTTTACATCTTTAAAATCTACAATTTAGAAATATTACTTCCACAACTGAAAGATGAGAGTATGTAAAGGACAATTGAATGCGAGACTGCATCGGCACCTTCAGGATTTTCACAACTTGGATAAGAGACAGTTTCTCTTACAACGTCCTCCACGAATGCATCTTCCTCTTAGGCAGATAATCATCGCGTGCATTTCTCTAATCAAACAAAAAGTAATAAATACAGCATTCCCGCAAAGGATATAAAAGTCGTTTGGCTAAATTTAATTTTAATTTAATCAATATCGAAAAAGTCTGCAATATGACGAGAATTACCGGAATGTGGGGGAAAAAAAAATCTCGATTTGGATAAAAGCGAATTGGCAAAATTCAATGCGGTATTGTATTATTTAAAAGTAGCTGTTAAAAGTTCACAGAATGCAAAGGACAAATTGAGTATTTTACTTCTTATAAGTAACTTTGAAGAATGAACTGTTGACAAGCCTCAAATATGAAACTTTTAATAGGCTTCGACTGTGACAAATACTACTAATTTCTCTTCGAAACGTGTGCCCGCTCGCCTGATATAATTCCGATTCTGAGATAATTTTGCTGTCGATACACTTGGTGCGATTGGAAGTGGAAGGTGTTTCTGTTTCAAGTTGTTGTCCTTCGGCAAAATGTAAGATCAAATGTATTTTTCAAATTTAATATGCCTGCTACTGATGAATAAACTGTGTTGTTTAAAAGCAATAGATGCAGTTCTTAGGATTGGATTATTTAATTATTCAGGATTATTCAGGATTGGATTATTTAATTATGGCAAAGCACACGAAGGCTATCTGCCTAAAGGGAGGGATGCCTTCGTGGAGGACTTTCTAAGGGAAACTGGCTCGTATACACATTACACATGGGAAAATCACGAAAACGCCCATGCAGCCGGCCCGTTCGCGGAATTGGAACCTCGGACCAAACTAACAGTTTTCAGCGTCTTTACCGCTCGGCCGCTGGTAAGCCTGCAATTAAGTAGTATATTTTTACTTAAGATAGTTATTTTTACTTTTACTTTGGAGATCAGTTAAATAAAAAATGCATTTAATTCATGATATAGGTAATTAAAAACATACGTTATATATATATATATAATATATAGAGCCCGAAGTTATTAGTCTCGAAATACGGTTTAGCGTTTTTTAATTTTCATCGAAGTTTATTTACATTCGATAAAATGTAAGATATTTTTCTTTCAAATTTAATCTGTTTTTTATTTATTAACAGACTAGGTTATTTAAAAACATGGTTTTTTCGTTAGAATTTATTATTTTTTTTCGCTTTTTAATTCGATTGATTAAATTAAAAATGTATTTAATTCGTGATAAATCTAAGTTAAAACATTAAATGCATTAAACGGAACCGTTTCATTACCATTAAATTAAGTTAAAAACATTAACGCTACTCCACTTGGGTCATCTCAAACGATAATCCCTACTGATAAACAATATTGAACTTTAAAGAGCGCTTTTGGGTAACCCTTTCAGTCTTTTTGTTTCAATTTGACTCAGCGCTTAATTTCTAAAATTAGAAGTGCCGGAGCCCTATGGAAGACTGTGAGGAAGGAAAGAAAAAATTAAAATAGCTATAATCAATAATAAATCTAAATTACGATTAATTTAATTGATTAAATTACGTAATTAAATTAAATTCATTATTAAATAAAAATTTTAATAAGAAAAGGTAAAGTAAAGAGAATCTAATAAATTATTAAATTAATTTAGAAATTAAATAGAAAAAAAGTATGGGACGTCGTGAATTTGAGGCATCGTCTGTTATTATAATTCCATAGATGCTAGAAGCACTCAGCCGATCCCTTGAGTTTAAGCCCTGATTACCTAAAGTGTACTATTCCAAGGGACGACAGGTATATCAGTCGTTGTTTTTTTTTTTTTTTTTTTTTTTTTTTTTTGCAGCACACCCAAGAAAAAAAAGATAAAACGATTAAAGCTCTACTAAGGAGAATAGTGAGAATTCTAGAATAGTATGAGGGTATGGAAAGAAATTTAACTGAAAAGTGTAGCTTTGAAAATAAAGAGGGAGGAAATCAAGACTACCTGATCGCGATGCCCTGTCGATATAATTCTAGCCATTAAGCAGAAAATTTCCCTGTTTACTTTTCCTGACTACAACGTGAGAATAAATATAAGACTTCTCGATACAAGTGGCAGCAGTGGTTATATCATTCAGAAAGTCTACAGTTCTGCAGAAAGAAGTCCCTAGCATGGAAGGGTGTCACTTTTTCGTTCTTTGAGGAATACAAAATTTACCCGCTCTCATAAATTCATTGCATAGCCTGGAAGAATAAGCCTTTGACATATACTAATTGGGAGCTTTTCTTTCCTCAAAAGTCTCAACCTCTGTGCAAG